GAGAAAATTGTCTTCTGAGCCAAGTGTACGACCAAACTCTGTGACTCGACTGCATGAGTCAACAGTGTCAGTTTGAGTCAACTGTGCAAGTAAACTGTGCACGTCAACTGTGTGAGTCAATTGTGCGAGTCAACTGTGTGAGTCAACTGTGTGAGGGGACTGTCTGAGTCGACTGTGCGAGTCAACTCTTCTCGAGAGTGAGTAGTCCAACTTTTGTCAACAGTCTGACTCAGACCGTTAGACCTGCAAGTGTCTGAGCCCCCTTTCTGAGTCAACAGTCTAAGTCAACTTCTGAGTCAACTGTCTCAGTCAAAGCTTGGAGTGAACTTTCTGAGTCCAACAAATGCAGCGGCTGGCAGCAGTCATACAGCCAACTCTACAACTGTCTGAGCTATCTGTCTTAGTCAACCTCCTGTGCAAGCTGTCTGGTTTCGACCGTTGTCAGCACGGAGTACGGCCACAGTACAAACTACTTTGAAGTTGTAAACAGACAGATCACGAGTTCAAGCCCTGACAAATAAAGTGCACGCAACAGAGCGTCGGAAGAAAAAAGAGTGGACTGGTAGGGTAGAAAGAGGTGGGGACTCTGGGGAGTCCTTTGGGACATCGGTTAAAATTGGACTGATACAGAGTAGATTATCATGGGAGAGGAAAGAAAGAAAAAAAAAGAAAAAAAAAGAAGAGGTGGGGAGAGGCAAGGAGACCACAAATATAAGGGAGCTATGAACAAACGGCAACTGCGAGTTCGGAATGATGTACTTGAGTTCATGAACTGTTCGTCAACTGCCACATGTGTACACCTTCAGGATTTACACCGCCGCTACATTTCCCAGGCAACTTTGAGAATCGAAAATGTAAAATATATGCCGCGGGTTCTTTTGAGACTCAGGGCTACCGGACCCCGATGGCTGGTGGCACCAGGCACAAAAAAAAAAAAAAAAAAAAAGCACGCCGCACTGGCATTTCGACGAAGCTTGCCACACACGTGAAAATCTGCCTCAGCAAAAAGAGGCTAGGAGGGAGTGGTGGTTTGAGCTCATGGCCTGTTGTGTCAACAGCCATATGCGTGTAGCGGGAGGAGTTGAACTCATGACCTGTTTATTTATTTTTTATTATTATTATCAGGGTTGCCCCGCCGAACGCGCAGAGGCCCCTAAGCTGACCTCCGAACGTTCGGGCGTTCGGGTCCCCGTACAGGCCCAACACCTGAAGGGGTTCGGACCCCGCAAAAAGATATTTTGGCACCCAAATATTTTTTTTTTTTCTGAATTTTTTTTGGTGAGTTATTTGTGATGTAAGGTATCTCCCTCTTAATTTTGAAGCCATTCTGTTCAGCCAAAAAAAAAAAGAAAAATCCTCAAAGATGGTGGTGTAAAACTTGCTTGCCCACTCACTAATTTGTTTTTTCTCTCTTTCCCCTTTTTATTTTTCCTTTATTTCGGGGCATGAAAATAATTATTATTTTTTCAAACTTTATTTGTAGATTCTCTATTATGTACGACAGGGTCACCAGCCCGTACGTACGGAGGTCCCCAGGAAGATTTCCATACGTACGGGCGTTCACAGTCCCGTACGGGGTCCGAACCCGACGGCGTTCGGCCCCCGCCAAAAATTATTTTGGGGCCTACAATTTTTATTTTTTTTCTGAATTTTTTTTTGTGAGTTCTCTATGACCTGAGGTACATGCCTATACATTTTTAAGTCATTTGGTTTAGCAAAAAAAGAATAAAAAACCGCCAAAGATGGCGGTGTCAAAACGTGCTCGCCCATGTTTTTTTTACTTTTTACTTTTTGTTTTCACTTTAGTTGGGGGTCTAAACAATTTTATTATTTTTTGAAACTTTTTTAGTGGGTTTGGCATTGTGTGAAGTACACATCGTTAAATTTTCAGGGCATTTAGCTAGGCCAAAAAGAAATGAAAAATCTCCAAAGATGGTGGTGTCGAAAACGTGCTCGCGCACTCACTAAATTTAATTCTTTTTTTTTTTCTTTTTTTTTTTATTATTAGTATTTGTTTTTCGTATTTTATTTTTATTTCAAATTTGGTAAGGAATTTGGATGTAATGCTCAGGCAAATCTTGTTTAATTTATTTTTCTTCATAACACATCGTTTTTTCAGTGTTTTTTTTTTTTTTTTTTTTTTTTTGGGTCCACGTTCGGCCCGAACGGCCGAACGCATCCCCAAGGGGTCGCATATGTTCGAGCGTTCGGGTTCGGGCATTCGGGTTCGGGCGTTCGGCCCGTCCCGAACGCCGGTTACCCTGATGTAAGATACACATATATAAATTTTCATGGCATTTGTCACAGCCAAAAAAAAATGAAAAATCGCCAAAGACGGCAGTGTAAAAAACGTGCTCGCCCACTCAATAATTTCATTCTCGTTTTATTTTTTCTCTATGTCATTTGTGAGGATTGAGCCCTCAACGGGGCTTTGCCGACATGCATATGTTCTTGGCATAGGCCCCCAGCAAGCCTCGTGCCCGCCCTTTTTTTTTTTCTTTTTTTTTTTTT